AGATTCGTAGAATTTAAATAAAAAAAAATGTTTATTGAAATTAATTTGGTGGTTATCGAGATATTTTTGCTCAAAGTCAATCGTCATGGTTTCGTCAATCGTCAGGGGTTTCGTCAATCGTCAGGGGTTTCGTCAATCGTCAGGGGGTTTCGTCAATCGCCAGAGGTTTCGTCAGACGAAACCTCGTCATTGCAAAAATAGTTTCGTCAGGCATCATTAATTGGCATCCATGTTGAACCATTAGGATCAGATTCATCAATATATATAAAATACGTTATAGTTATTGGGTTGTTGCATAAGACCCGTGTAATAATAGCTTTTAAGCCAGAATTGAAATTAATTAGTACTTGAAACCAATTTGGATTTGACACTTATTTTTAATTATTCAAATTTTATCATTTTATTTGCATGGATTTACTTAACAAATATATTGATTTTACTAAAAACTATAATGACGTGAAAAACTTATACATATTGCATGTACAAATAAATTGATAAAATAACTAATACCAACACTTGATAATAAATAAAATACAGTTGTAACTAGAAAATAATCAGATTTTAAAATAATACAATATTTTGGGATGATTTATAAATGTAAGAACATGGGCTTTTGAGCATTTTCACCTTTCTCACATTCGGAAATGTGACATTCATCTGGTCTCTTATAAAACACATAATCTTGAGGATTAAGGCTATAGTACCTGTTAAAAAGATGACCCTTAGCATTTTTGTTGACAAAAATCTTTCCATGAAAACGTGGATTTTTAACTTCATGAAGGACGCCCATCTTAGAAATAAAATCCTCTTCATTTGCATAATGTTCAATACAACTAATTAAACCTTTTGGATTTATAAATTCTCTAGAAATATTTGCAAATGTGTACACCTCAAGTTTATTAAGTAGACTTTCATCGTATTCATCTTTTTCTGAATAGCTCAATTCCCAATATAATTTTTTTATGACCAAATTTGCAATAACACAACCTTCAGAATGAGCGATCAATCGAACTTTTTTAATACTATCATCTTTAAGTGCTTGGAAAATATTCCATGAAGCCCAACGTACTGGTATTGTTTCATCATCAAAACTTCTCGAAAGGATAGTTTCAGCTGTATCCCAAATAATACCATAACTGCTATTAAGAATGCCTGTAACACCCCTATTGAAACGACGCTCCAAACGTCTGCAATTTTCATCTAACCAATGCCTGTTTACCATGACACCGTTAATAAAAAACCATCTTTCATCTTCGTGTTCTTCTACATCTATCAAAGGTTCACGACATTCTTCTTCTTTTAATTGCATCTCTCTAATTGGGTAGAGAAGAATAGAAGGAATTGTGTTGCAAAAACACCATAACTGAAAAAATATACTTCTCCAATTTGCCAAATGAGATAAATCCAGTTCATCAGCTCCTCCCTTCAAAGTTTTGGAGCTATTAAAACAAAACCCGAAAATACTATTATCGAGTAAGAATTTAATTATATCAAACCAATGACATATGAGAAACCAAAGGTCTTGACGAACGTATTCCCAGGGGTTATCCATATGGTCGCCTGACACCATACAGCATGTATTATAATATTTCCTGTTTACTTTTGTTTTTGGCAAATTACGTGAACATGAACCGTCAGCTTCTGTTGTCTTAAAAGGATTTTCACTTCTTGGCATTTTGCGTGAATCGTCAGTTTTTGGCAACTTGGTATATAAATTTTCAGTTTTTGACATTTTTTTTTTATCTTTACGTGAAGTTTAATTTTGAATTGTCGTTCAAAGAATTTGAATATTTTCGAATTTTATTTTTCGTTCAAAGAATTTGAATTCACATTTTTATATTATTTTATGGTCTTACAAATATTTTACAAATTTAGTATAAATTATCGTAATACATTTGCTTCTTTTTTATTTACATAAAAAAAATCAAAACAAGACAAAGGAAAAACAAGAAAAAACATTAAACTCTAAATTTTAGGTTAAAATTGTTTTGGTCACCAAGCTTAATTCAAACAAAATTCTAACCATTATGGTAAACTAAAATTATCTTGACGTCAAATAATTAATTCGCACTTGGATAACAAATTTTGCCATGTTACAACAAAGTATTATCAAATTTACTATATAACTCGATTTCGTTACATAATCTTTTTTCACGTTACAGATCAGTATATATCTGGTCTTATTATAAGCACTTGTTATATCAAAAAACATGTTTAATGTAACATACATTACATTGACATGTAAAGTTCTTTTTCATCTTCTAAAGACCGAGCGATTCTGTTCGTAAAATAAAGCGATTATTTTAACTTTAACCTAATTCCTAAAATGGTAAAGTAATTTATCTGACCAAGCCGTAAATACTTTAAGGGAAATGATTACAGAATTGTTTCTATCGCTTATATCTATGTTTAATGATAATCATGTGCCTGAAGTTGACACTTTGCCTGCACCTGTAACTAACGCATGCAGGATGATCTAATTCCAAGGCTAATTTCAGTCAAGGAAGCAACTTTGACGAAAATAATAAGAGAATAATAATTATTATCGTTATGTAATAGTGTTCTAAATAACGCCATAAAATAAACAATATGATGTAATGGTAGTGTTGGCACCATTAACAAGTCGATAAAATTCTGTATTTTATCTCGTCTAACTTTGATAAGATACTTTCTTTACAAATTTTATATCTTTCGTCATTATGAAAATTTCTGGTCTTGATATGGCATTTTCGCTGAAAGAAAACCATAATTACGATTAGACATCTGCAAACGCATGTACTCTGTAACGCCAGCAAATTTACAATTCATATATTATATTAAACCAATCAAATAAACGCAAGATTTAGTAAACTTAGCCACTGATTATATGGGAGCACTAGTCGGACGAAAAAGTAAACGGCGCTTTTTGACAAGCTTGAAATTGATAATCTGCATGGAATTCTGGAATATTCTACATTTGTTAGCGATTTGTCTTTACCTATTTATTTTAACTACGTATACGTAATTGCCTTTTATGTGGTATGATTATTTTTTACCATACATGAAAAAATTGCTAACCAATTTCATGCGTTGTGTCGCTATTTGCAGAGATCGACCATGAAAACCGTCGCAAAATCCAAGAATTTTTATTACTTCCATTTTCATGCGATGAGATGTTGAATATGATACGATATGGTACGTATTGGGGTGTTAATGTGCAATTCTTGAACGTGTGCGCCAGGTTGGTGGTGCATTAATTAGCCAAGTAATCTACGCCAATTAAAATTATAGAAATTATGTTTTAATAGAACGAACCCCATTTTTTAATGTTATTTTTCTACTCGAATCGAGTTTTTTTTCAAAAAAATGCACATTTTCCCTTCATTCTTTCATAACCTTTAGCTTCCTATATTATTGGTTTGATTCAAAGAAATATTCGTATTCTTTTACTTTTATAATGTTTATAAATTATAATTTTCGAAATTTTTACAGACCAGAATGATGACAACTCATACAGCTTTAAAATAAATAGAAGGTTTTTGATATAAAATTTTTTTTTTTTATACAGTCAGACCTCTCTAAATGCATTGCGTCGGGACCGTAGTAAAAATTGGATTAAATATGCATTTAGAGAGGTAATGCATTTAGGGAGGTAAAAATCTATAAGTGTTATATCAGTTGGGCCCAAAAAAGACACGCGTTTAGGGAGGTTTTTCATAGGTATGCATTTAGAAAGGTTACATTTAGGGAGGTCTGACTGTAACATAATATATATTGGATATAAGATCCTGATCTCAGCCAGTTCTTGTAAGGTTTTTAGAAGTCCTGATCATTTTACTTAAAACCCCTAATCATATTTACTTAGTACACATTTCGAGATATAGCATACTGGTTATCTTTAACCACTGACACAAGTTAAAAATATCCTTAATATGATATAAATAATTTTTAAAAGATATATAAATAATATATAAAACCAATTTATTGCACCAATAATATTAAACAACTAGTAATATTTAAATCTAGTTTTTTTAGATGATAGTATATGTTTATTTTTTGAGTATTAACTTATAACATCTTTTATTTATTATAAAAGTTTTTAACATGAAGTGTAGGATAATAATTTTTGATAGCAACGATGGTATTGTTGAAAATCCGTGTTACGAAAAAATAATAACAATAAAATGAAATAGTACTTGAGCTTGAGCAATCACTTTGATTACTCTATCAAAATAAATTTTAATCAATCGACGCAGTTCTATGAAAAAAAATTGGTGGACTCAGCTTCAGGTTTTTTTTGACCAAAGCAAAGATCACGATTAAAGCTTGGATCCGTTATTAATTAAATTTAATAGTAAAATACGCTGGATGTCCATTAATTTAATATGAAAACGGATAACGGAACCAAGCTCTAGTCACGATCGACCAATCAAATCATTCGGTAACTCTTCGAGATAGGCGCTTGAGAACGGTCTGAATCAGCCTTGTCAAATCATAAATGTAAGGCCAATATAGGGTGTTCTCGAACATTTCAATCAATTAATTAAATAATGATCATTATAATGATCAAGCATCACAACCAATGACAACATCTATAGAATTAAATGCTTGAGCGTACTCTTTTAATTTTTCAAAATCTTCTCTATGCCTTTAAAAACCTAATAAATTTTTTTTCATTCAGCCAGATGCCGGGGCTTCAACTTCAGTTTCACTGGCTTAATTATTTAACGATTAACTTTTGATGCAACAGAATCAACTTATGAAGTCGTCAGCGAAAATTGTTTTGCGAAACAAGGAGTAAATTCTTTTAAAAAAAAATTATTTTTTTTTTATGGGCAATCTATAGTAATTCGTAGCTGCTATTTCGTACTGGAAGTAGAATAGGTAATACGAAAATATTTTTGAAAGAGGTTATGAACCTTAATTATCCGTATACTGTATAGAAAAACATCTACCCAAAATCTTTAAGTTTTGGGTTTTCGTTGAAAATTTTTTGAATTTAGGTGAACGAAAACAAACATTAAAAATAGGGACTTTTTTTTTTATCGATTAGAAATTTGCAGAGAATTCATTGTTTATTATGTAAAAAATGTATATCAAGAAAAAATTTTTGAAGAAAAAAGATGGGTTGTAGCTCGCTGATCTGTTCATCAATATGGCAGCTCACTTGGTAATTTATTCAATTTCCGACTATTAAAAGTTTATTGAGTGAGGTGCTTGAGAACACCAATAATAGAAAAGTTATTACAGATGCGAAAAATTGGAATGTTTTTATGACAAAGAAAGACTAAGGAGCTCGATTTTTAATTGGTGGAAAATAGTTTAGCCGATCAAGTGAGTTCTGAAAATAAAAGATGGTCTCTAACCATCATCTGATTGGCTAAAATTTAATATCCGCATTTCGTAACATGAATCTTTAGCAAAATTATCTAAGGATTACTTAAGTTAATTGTAGTACTTGTACACGATCTCGATCATTAGTCAATCACATAGATAGAGATGCTTGAGAACACCCTAAGAGTGCTCTCTCGATGTATTACAATTGATCGAATAATGATTGCACTCGGTGCTTGAGCAGACCATCCTTGTTTTTACTACAACATCGCTATTTCTTCAGCAAAATCGTAGCAAAAAAAAAAAAAAACGACTATCCAACCAACAATGTAGTTCGGCAACACCAAGTGCCCAACTTCTTTTACAGACTTTATGAATATTCATATTTTTAAAGTATCAATATTCACAGTTTTTGTGCCTTTAGCTTCGAACAAACAAACTCTGAAAATAATGTAGTATTTGAATATTAAAAATTTTTTAATAACAAAATAACAAAATAAAAAGTAATAAGCATAAAAGTTAGAAGATAATAATTTGTTGTTAAGTTTTAGTCTTTGTTTCTGAGATTTTTATTGGCGATAAGAGTTTGAATACAAAAATAAACGCAATAGTTTCTAAATTTTTTGATTACAATTTCGCTAAAGATCCATGAAGCAGAGTCAAGAGCCTTTACTAATAAGCACTTTTAGCCTATGAGCGTTAACTCTGAAAAAAAAAGCAACTTCTGATTTTTTTCAGTGAAATGGCAACTCACTTGACAGGTTTTTTCGACTCCCGATTATTTAAATTTTATCAAATCGAAATTGCTACTCATCAAATAGGATGCAAACAAAATATAAACATTAGGTACCGATGAATTTCTAGCAACAGTCAAGTTTATTTTATAAAATTCTGCCGAAAAGAACTTTCGTGACTAATAAAATCCACCTTAAACTATTACAAAAACCGAAGGTTTACTTTACAAAAGAACTGATTATGTAAAAATCTGTTTATACTGTCCGCATAGAGGTGGTTTAAACCTGTTTTTTGTTTTTTTTTAAAACTGAAACACAAAAACGGTTTAAAACATTGACGGTTGAGTTTGAGACTGAAATAATTGACATTAATACGGAAAAAAATTTTTTTTATTAAATCATCATTTATTAAAAGTATTTATGTTAGACGTCACTTTCAAATTTCCGTCAATTAAAAAATTGACGTACGTAGCTTCGAAATTGTAAATTAAAGTACTTCATATTTTAATCTGTATCGGTATGATTTTATCGATTAAAAAAAAAAAAAAATTTGCGACGCAAATCAAATTATTTTTATTAAGTATTGTATTTAACTTCCATTACGATTGTTAAAATCCACATGTTGAAGATTAAACAACTGCTAGGCGATATATGATTTTGCGAATACAACCACAACGAAAAGTACAAAGAGCATTGTTCTTATGACAAGACAACTCCTACTTTTACAATTTGGTTTATTATAATGACAGCCATCATTTTTCTTTAAACTTTGTCCAGTTTCTTGGTTGGATGGTTCATTTTAATATTTTGAAGTGGTCTTAGTGGTCGGGTTAAGTTTTGTTGAGCACCAGCATTTCGTAAAGAAATAAATTTGCCCATTGGAGGAAATTCATCAGTACCTAATGGTTCTAATTCGTTTGCTGAAAATCATGTATCCAAAAATTCCAAACTTGCTTCCAAATTGATATGAGTCGCAATGCTCGTCTATCCATTTTTAACCTATCAATATCAGCAATCCGAATCTTTACGAGATCACCAGGTTTCGAATTCAATACACATTATTTAGTTTAATATCGTTTTTCCATTAAGATTACACACGATTATGTTTATCAGATTTAACATTCAGTCCATCGGATACTTCCAACTTTAATTAATTTAAAGTTTGAATCTTCATATTTATTTGTAGGGTTTCATAAAATAGCCAGGCAACGATCATACTTTGAATGAATCATTATATGCTTTCGTTTTTTCTAATTTTCATGTAATCATCAACGATTTTTTGGAAGCTTTGAAATGAAAAAAACGAAAAAACTAGCGAAGAATTTGAAGCCATATTATGGAAGATAAAATAACAAAGGATGTTTTTTCGTTTGTTTTTTTATAATCAATCTAATTTATTAAACTCTTATATTAAATTGAGTTTAATTGACGTACGTACGTACGTTACATATTAATCAGTATAATTTTTAAAACTACGTATGTTACATTTTAATAGGTATAAATTTTAAACTCAGGTACGTTAATTTTGAATTAATGGTTATTTGAGAGCAACGTACAACATTTATAAATCTTTTTTACTAAATATTAAATTGCGTCATAATTTTACGATAACAATGATTACGGTTTAAAATGTATTAAAAACTATTTTAAATGAATTTAAACGTTTTTAAATCATTTGCCATCCCTGTATGCACTTTCCGATATACGTGTAAACTTAAGCTATAATAAAAAAAGTAAAGTTTGTATTTTTTTTTTTTTCACGTAAAATCTTATTTCTTGTTATTTACACCTTTATCTAGCGATAATAAATTTATAACTTGGTAAAGGCATAGCGATTAGTACTAGAGACTGTAACCGATTAACCGATAAATATTTTTAAATATTATGAAAAGTTAAAAATCGGTTAATAGTAAATACAGTATAGCTGGTCAAAAAAAAAAAGCTAATTCGTTTCTTCGAATTTCGAGCATTTTATTCACTTGCACGTGATACATGAAATTTGGTATTCTGAAAATCACTTTGCCATTGTAAGTAATAGAACTTATTACACGTTATGATGGAGAATTAAGTACAAACAAGGAAGCAACGTCTAATCTTAGTTTCCAAAAAATATAAACAATCGAATACGCTTTAGCGTTGGAAATCTAATAAATCATGAATGAAAATTATACACCAATCAACCTTATTTAGAAAAAGATAAGTCATTTGGGAGATTTTTGCATATGCATTTAAAGCAGGTTTTATTATTATATTAACTGCCTAATTAATCGGTTAAGAAACTTTCTAACCGACCATTAACCGGTTAATGTTTTTATTGGTCGGTTCCAATCTCTACAATGTAAATTATTTACAATTTAAAACTACACATATGTTAACTTTAAACGGAAATTTGAATGTGATGTCCAACATATTCTCTACATCAAATATATGAATATTATTGAACATAAACCAAAAGTTTTAGAGTACTTTATTTTATTTAACGTTGATTCTTTGTGAACAATGTATTTGTAATTAGTAATTCGATATTTCGATTGCAGTTCTTGATTATAAATTAATAGAGACAATGAAAATAACAAGTATAGAAAAACGGTAAGGTTCGAGGACTAAAAATAATCATTTTGAGAAATTCTAGTAATTCATTAATATAATTGTTTTAAATTATTTAAAATTTTATAATAATATTACTGTAGCTAAAAATATATAAGATTCTTTAAAAATAATTTACAAAATGTGTTAACCCAAACTTAATTTTCAAAATAATGACTTATTAATTCAAAATTAATCAATAATGATAATATCGAATAGTGCAAAAACTGCCCGATGCAGCTCAGTGCAGCTCAATATACTATAACAACAGAGTTAACCATACATAGTGTTGATCGAATCAAAGAACTCTAACCACAATTAATTTTTTTGGACAGGATCTTTCTTGAAACTATAGTAGTTACCATTTTTTAATGTACAAAGCAATTCAATAGAAATTCTGACAACAGTCATTATCTAATTGACTAAGCAACAGGGGCAACCTTTTGAGTTGATAAAACTTCCGGGGTGACTAAGGTAAGACTTCACAAATAACACCTTCTGAATTACTTTCATCAATCCTATATCAAAAACATAGTGCCCTTATCTTGCAAGACATTACGTTGAAAAAATTTATGAATATATCTTACATCATGAATATCATATATTTAAGTGCAATAGTTTTAATTTAATTACTAACAAGTTTTTGAGTTTATTCAAATATCATTAGACTATTAATGCACAACCTAAATTCTATAAGATTGTCAAACTTAGTAAATGTTTAAACTTTTCTCAGAATTAGACAATTTCTGAGTGCAACGATTTATTCGCTCTTACAAGCTACTGTACCGTCGTTTCACTATTAACTTCGTATACCATCCAACTAGATTATAGATAAATCCTCCTTTACTGATTATTTTATTATTGCATAATTTATCAAAGGAAACTATGTTCATAATTATTACCGTAAATTGCCGTATACAAGACCTAAATTTAGTAAATCCAAGATGGGTACAGATTTGATAATTTGGAAGTTAATGATAGTTGATACTGATCATTAACAGTAATACTTTTCCTTATTTATAAACTCGGATCTTTTAACATTTTACCAAAACTTTATGGAGCCGGGTATAGTATATACTGTATGTGAGTCTACTATCTGGAAGGTTTATATATACGGTAAATTACGGTTGTTTTAAGTCAAAATTTCTTTCATGAAATTATCAATAACCTTGGTTATACTTGAATTATTATGCAGAACCATGTGTTTGACTGAGGATGAGAACAATCAAAAGATTAATTAGAGTGTTGTGTCGCCAAGAAAAACCAGAATATCTAAATATAGATAAATTATTTTAATGTTAGTTTTACAATAATCTATATTTATACATTTTTTTTGTTTTCACTTGGCGGAAAACCCGTTTCTAAGTGGACGTAATATTACTGTATTTGGATTTAGAATTCGGTAGGTTCGGAATTAATTTAAGCGGACCGATCTCAAAATAACTTATATACGGTAGAAAATGGTTTAAGCGATCGATTAAATAAACTTAATAGTAATATTTAGAAACATTGCATTATTATCTAGGGCTGGTTTTCTACATTAAATAGATTCAAAATCTATTTAATCAAAAATAGTTTATGTAGAAAAATGGTAAAAACAAATTTTTAAATAAGATTTATTATAGTAAGTATATAATAACTATCATATATATATATATGTATTAATAAATATCGCAGCTGATGCTGAAAACGGCTGATACTGAAATTTGGGGTCTCTATTTAAATCTATAATACCCACATATACTTTTTTATTAAATAAATCTACCCTACTAACTATGAAAAAAAAGTGTAAAAAAAGGCCCAAAATTTTTTTATAATTTTATAATAAAATATGAAAAAATTTCAGCATCAGCCGTTTTCGGCATCAGCTGCGACAATAAATTTTTATACTGTATAGTTATTGCCATATAAAAAATTGAAACGTCTAAGTATAGTATCTTAGCTTCTAAATTTGTTCAAGTTATAGTACGTTGTATTCGTGTGCAAAATCATGTGCATACATTAATAAGTTTATTTTGAACGTCATATTTACGTATGGGCAAATTTGCTCAATACGTATGTTAGAGGTGTTAAGGGTCCGAAATTAATGAATAAGTCTCCGCCTTAAAAAATTCATTAACGTTAATTGGGTTATTAATCATTAGGCACTCCTAATTGGTGAATTTAAAATTCAAAATAAGTAAATGCGCGCCATACGAAGTTATTACAACCTCTAAGGGTTAGATCAATTTCTGACCGGATTTACGAACTCGTTTCTAACTAGTTCAAGGGGACCGAACAGGGATCGGACCCTCTAATACGTAATATGCTGCATTAAACACATCACATGTGCAATTTCACAGCCACTAAACATTAGATAGTTGTAATCGGCACATTGGTTCTATTAACATACAAGCCAGTCGTGCTCTACTAAATATGCTTACGGAGCAAGGTTTTGATAATCGGTAAACGACGGAAAAATCAATTCGTGAAGTTTTGACTAATCCGGCGAAAACATAATAAACGAAAAATGAGAGAAATAGTAACCTAAACTCACTATGGTGCATGAATAAGGAATGTCGGGGAATCCTCATTTAAATCTAACTCAATATAGCCATAGAACTTATTAGATAAATGCCAAATTAGATAATTTTTCCAAAACTCGCATCGCTTTAGCCGGTTAACCTAAATAAGGAAATAAGTTAATGAGAATAAAAAAAAACTGGTATAATTTCAAGGTAATTCAGGTTCGATTAGCTATTCCATTTCTTTTTTTCATTGACAGTCTATTACGAGAAAATTGGAATGATGTCATATTAACGATTTATAAAATAAATTTATTATGGGAATTTGTTTCAAATAAATGCAAAACTTAATATAGGTACGTACGTACGTATGTATGTATGTATGTATGTATGTATGTACATATGTACGTACGTACGTAAGTTGGTTCTAAAATTAAAAATAAGCTTGAATGGATTCCGAATCTACATCATCTTTAACTTGAATACAGGGTTTTTTAAATTATCAAATAGTTTTTTAAAAAATTATCAAATAGTTTTTTTTAAAAAAAAAGGCATATTCATTTTGGTCCATAAGTAGTAATGTTAATGAGTTGGTTGTCTCAATCTTCAATGGCATTCAACATTTAAGTCCGAGTTGCTCCTAAATTTAAAGATATAGTTTTAAAAACCAAATTTGGGTTTGGATTTTACGGATTATGGATTCCGGAATGCTTCGGAGTAATCTACTCCGTTAACAATTAGTTCAAAAAATGCTATTTTTTCAAGCTAATATATATGTACATATTCTCTTTCTAATGCTTCATGCGTGTTATAGCTAGCCGTCAAAAAAAAAAAAATGCCACCGGGTGGATTCATGAGCCACCCGGGTAGAAACCGGGTGGGTTAAAAAAGCAACCCGTCGGGTGAATTCATGAGTCACCCGGGTGAAAATAGATGTCCCGTTATTACGCATACCTGTATATACAAATATATTTCTAAGTAATAGTTATATTCCTGGTATATAGTTTGTTTTAAAAGTCTAGCATCAAAAATAAAATAGTAATTTTTTTGGGTCGGGTAGAAATTTACTAAGAATTCATTGTTTATTATGCTTTATATGTAAAAAAAATGTAAAAGTAATTCTTGAGCGTCCTTTATCAATGGTAAATTTTTGAATAAAAAATAAGATGGTTTATATCTCAGTGAAATGGTAACGTTTAAAATTTTACCTCCGATCCATTGAGTGGGTACTTGAGAACACTCTTAGTATAATATAAAATCCGGTTTGAAAAGTTTTTTTTTTTTTTAAAAAAAAAACAATTAATATACATATTTGGATTGAAGTCTTGCGCAAAAGATGATCTCGCAAATGTAATTATTGTTCATGGTGGGTCACCCGTCGGTGACCCGCCCGTTTCCACCCGGGTGGCCAAAACTCCACCGGGTTACCCGTCCACCCGCAGGTGAGCCGGGTGGCAGCTACCCGGGTCCAATCACTAGTTATAGCTTTATAACCATCTATTAATCATTTTTAGTTATATATTTCTAAAAAAAAGCCGATAATATAGATAATATAAGAACTTTATTTCAAGTTGCATATGCAATCTATGCAAGGCGGGCATATGCACGTTATTTTAAGAATTTTGGGATCAGAAAATCGACCCTTGTTTTGAAATAACTCACATGAGTATATACTCGAAATATCGCGATATGAATTATTTTGTCGAAAGAATTTTTTCTTTCCGACTTAAAAATTCAATTCTTTTTTTTTTTCTTTCTGATTAATCAAATATTTTCATTATGAAAATTTGGTTTCAAAACGTTTTTATTATATTAAACTTGGTACATATTATTACTTGTCAAAGTGTACCTAGTTCAAGATATGAACAAACTGGCACTTTAGTTGGTACTAAATTCTATTTCTTTGGCGGTTGGATATCTGCTACACGTTCTACAAATGAAGTATGGTATATAGATTTATCGATACAAAATTTTAGTACCAGTTCTCCATTATGGCATAAAGATGCTGGAATGCCTATAGGATATGACTCTGGCAGTTCATGTCTTAGTCCTATCGATAATTCATCGGTTTTTTTGATTGGTGGGAGAACGTTTGTTCCAAATACAAGTACTTTTAGTACTTTTAATACTGCTACTCCTGTATACGTATTTAATACTACAACTTCACAATGGTCAACACCAACTATTGCTAGTTTTAATTCTAGTTTTATTTTTCGTAAAGCAATGACTGCTATCGTTGATAATGATGGAAAAATTTTTATCTATGGTGGATCATTTGATGATCCTACAAATGCTTCACATACGACTTTTTATAATGATTTAAATATACTTGATATTACTGGAAGGTCTTGGTCAACTCAACCTCAACCTTCTTATGTTGAAACTATTGTTGATTATAGTGCTACTTTATTACCAAATGGTTATATCGTTTATATTGGTGGACGTAATGGTATAAGTTCTTCCGTTTCTATGAATAAGGTACGTTCGATTTAAATAATACATGATATAATTATTCTCATTTTATTTCATTTTTATTTACTTTCACTTAAAATAATATACAGATCAGTGTATTTGATACAAAAGCTAATATTTGGTATTCTAAAGTATGTATACTTATAATGTTTGCTTAATAATTTAACTCTTAATAAATATATGTTCTTATCTAGACTGCAGACGGTGATAATGTAGGATCTCGCTCGGGCCATTCAGCTATTTTAAGTAATTATATATTATATAATAAATTATTCAGCGCCATTTATTTTTATATAACTAAAAAATATGATTTTACCTTCTTTTAGCCAATGACGGAAATATTGTTTTATATGGAGGCTCATTAATGACAAATAGCGGCAGTATCAATGTACTTTCTGATGTTGTTGTATTAGATACAAATTCATGGGCTTGGGATATTCCACCTATCCCTAAAGCAAATATTCCACCACCACTTACATATCATTCTGCTACACTTTACAAAACTTATATAATCGTTGCATTTGGTAAATTACTTTCATTTATTTATTTTTTTTGTTATTTTTATTTATAATAATTATTAAAATTTATTCTTTTAAATTTAATTAATCTTTTATGATCTTTATTTTGTTAGGCTTAATTTCATCCACACCAACTATAACACTTAACAATAATATTTATATTCTCGACACTTCAAATTCAAGTTACAACTGGGTTACCGCAATAAATACACCTACACCTATACCATCAGCCACACCATCAGTTGCAAACGTACAGACTCCTCCACCTCCACCGCCTGTACTATATATTGGAATTGGTATTGGTGTTGGTGGAATTATTTTATTCGCTCTTTTATTTACTGTTATAATTTTACTTTGTAAAAAGCATAATGAACTTAATGCTGCTGTACCAACACCTGGTGATACTCCTGAATTGACTGAACCAACTCCAAGTGGGGTTTTTAATGAATCAATTAAACGTGATGATCCTACACCCGAAATTGTTTAAACCCTGAATACCCATGTAGAGAGATCTCTCTAAATGCACCCCATGAGAATCAAATCTTTAACAAAAGTGTATTTAAGAATTCAATAAGAAAAGATTTACGAGAGTCGAATACGTGTTTGGGTCAGATTTGAGGACGTATTTGGAGAGGGTGCATTTAGAGAGATCTCTCTATACACAAATTTGAAATTAAAAAAAAAAACTGTATTATAAAATTAAATTTTTAATTTTGAATTAAATTAGTAAGCAAAAAATTAGAATATAGTTTATAATAGAATTTAGCAAGAAATATTTGGAACATTTTAAAAATTGATTTATTGTATGCTAAATTTCGTATTATCAATTTTTTTGTTTTTTTTCGTCTATAAATATTATACTTGATTTTGTAATTACGTGTATTAAAAATTAAAAACTAGCATGTTAATAAAATTTTATACATAAAGATATTTTTATAAAATAATGTTATTTTTTTTTTTGATAAAGCAATCGATATAAAAATTTGAGGATTGAAGACAATGACGTGATTCCGAAGAGTTAGGTGACCTTTAGGACGAAACCGAAGAGATTTCGGGAAACGAACAAATTTTAGTTTGTCCAAAAATTTATGAGAACAGCTGTAATAGGCTTTGTGGTTTCATTAGTAGAATTCTGAGTAATCCCGGCCAAATTTTTTGATCATCGCACTTAGCTAATCAAAATCGAGAATCTTTTGTTCGCGGCAGCTAGGGTTATTAAGAAAGCTAGATAGGTATAACATTTTTTAAAAACTGTCGATACGTAACTTGATATTTCGACTATGAACCCACATACTGCGCTCTAAAATAAAAAAAATTTCAATTTCTAATCTAACTTTAACGTAGCTTTTTTACTTTAAAAAATTACACATTGAAATTGGTTTGATTTATATTTATTGTATCTCAAGCTAATGAAATTAATATACTTTTTTCGAACTTGAACGAAAATATCTCAGCAATTACCTAACTAATCTATATCATAGAATAAAAATAAAAAAAGTTTTTCATCGATTTTAGGTGGGTAGTTATCGATCAAAATTTGGAAAAACTTAACTGCTGACTTTGTTTTAATAATCGCCTAAATTCTTTTTTAACTTCGAACAATAATTTCTCGACAGCAAAATCAGCAAAGTTTTTTTCTATTAATTCCATGAATACATAGAATAAAAATAAAAAAAATTACATTGATTCTGAATATGCAATGCACGATTCTTACTGTAGTAGCCCGCTGGGTTTATAAGTATACCGCGCTTAGATTTGATTAGCCAACTTCGATGATCATCGTTACAAAACTTTTAAGAGCAAAAAGGGCGATTGAATTCATTTTTTTAAAAAAATTTAAATTGGCCCTAAATTTCGGGTCGGGTTTGGTTCGGGTTGACGAAAATTGTCAACCCGACCCGACCCGTTCGGATGTATACTTCGGATTAAAATCTTGAGATCGGAGTTCTATTAATGTTACTCATAATAAGTTGTACACGAAATGTGAAGCAAATTTAATTTGTGAGTGTACAAAAGATAATGTTCAGGTTAGAGAACTAACTTTAGTGGCTATACCGTAGAGCACTGCATACAGTACCTGGTGTGACACGATTTTTTACATAGTGAAAAATTAAAAATCACGTGGATTACACAATTGTTTACATCACATGGCATACATAAATTATATTTTAAAAAATTGATCTACATTATTTGTCACGCCGGGTACTGTATGCAGTGCTTGATAGATTAACGCTTATTATAAGTAAATTTCGTTACCGTCATTTTTAAACATTATTTCACGTATTTTCGCTTTCTTTTCTTTTTTTCTTCTGATTCAAAATAGTCAAAATTTGTGCTCTTTGATTGGTCATTTCCTTTTTA